ACCCCATCCACAGAACCTGACCTTGGTCCACCATTTCCTTCTGCAGGAAGCACAGGATGGCTACGTAATGCCCCCACTGGTCCTCATTGCGCCCTGTGGTGCATACCATTATGTGTTCATGTTCCAGGGCCCTGGGCCTCCTCGAGCATCTTCTTTGCTCTGTACAGAGGTGAAAAAGGTCTTGCAGGATTTCAGCTCCTGAGACCCTGGTCCTTGGTAAAACTTTACAGACAGCTGGAGGAGATAAGATGATAAATGACAGTCTCCAGGTCCAGGATTTCTTCTTTTCTCTTTACTGAGAAGTCAGGTCTAGCTCAACCAGCCTCAGGGACCCCTGGCCATAGTGGCGTGCCCTGGGATGCTTTGGTTGATACTGTTCTTCCTCCCATCCCTGATTTTCCTCTTGAGGTACAGATTTGGGGTCTCTTGCCTGTTGCATCTGTCCTCACTTTTGTACACCTCAAAAGCTGGCATCGTAAGGAAAAGGAGAGCAAGGGAGAAGGGACTGGAGTAGTAACAGGAAGTTCAGAGCCTAAAACCCAGATGGACTTGGGCATCCACCTGGGCTGCAAGACATGAAAGTGAAGGGACCAAGAGCTGCCTTTGCTGGGAGGCTCTCTGGAGAAGGGCTCTGCACCTCGCTGCTCTGGGCTATAGCAGCATCTGTAGCAGGGGCAGAGACAAGGCTGATTTCAATGCCGCTCTCACTCTTAGGGACTCAATGTTTCCTTCAGAGTCAGGATTATTTTCCAGGCTGAAAATCAGCATCTTGGCCTTTCTGTCCTCCGTGTCTGGTTGGCAGCAGACATCCTGTACCCCCTCTAGGACAATCCTCTACCCCCTCTGGGGAGAAAGAGGACAATTTATAGAATCGCTCTGCTGCTCTTGGCCCTTGTCGAGACACAGAATTTGTTTCTGTCTTTCAAGGTGGTTTTTCCTGCTGGTGGTCATAAATTGCCTTCCTGCTTATTCCCTGACCTCTTGATCTCTTTGCTTTTGTGCTCCGAAAATTATTAATATTTCTCTTAACTCCCTATGTAACCTTTGGCTCCACCTCTCTTTTTTTCTAGGTAAAGTAGCATCCGCAGGGATGAGTGCCTCTGCCTGCATGCCCGCGTGCTGCTGTTTGGTCAAGGCTCTCTGCCACTGTGCCAGTCCATTTTCTCTGACTCTGCTTTTCCCCAAGACAGATTCACAGCAGGAAGATTCCAACGGCCCCTGCTTTGGGGGGACCCCCAAACAGAACATGATCACAGGTGGTATTTACTGTTTGTTGTGTGTCTAGCACTAATAGCAGGATAGATACACGCCCATCCCATGCTCACAATGACCGCATAAAGTGAGTGCTATTGTTATTCAAGCTTGGAAACAAAGAAATCAGGAATCAGAGAGGTCGAGGCCACGAACCATCTGAGGTCACACAGAAAGCAAGGGGCCGAACCTGGACTTGAGCCCTTTGGTCTTGTTCCAGGACCTATTTGCCTTACTCTTCGACCACTCTGCCATCTTCCCAACACACAGGAGTTTGCAAGGCTGCTTCTCTTTCCTCAGGTAACTCCAGCCCGAGGGGCATACACAGGCCTCTGCCCCCAGGTTGGACAAAGAAGGCAGATCGCTGTCCCTGTTTGAGTAGTTATGGCATTGTTCTCCAGGAGGCTCAGGCAATCCAATGCGATACAACTCTGTGAGCCTTGGAGAGATAAGGGAGAAGCATTGGAGAGCTTCACTGGGATTTCCCCCAGGGGAACAGGGTGACACAGGGAGGGCAGGAGGAAGAAGAAATACTTCAGGAGAGCAGAGGCCAGGGCACCCCTGGATATGCAGGCCCATGGAGAGCAGTGCACGGACTGTGGGGCTCTGCCACGAGGATTGGCTGGAGACATGTTTAAAAACATTGGCGCTTGGGTTCCCCTCCAAAACAGTTCATCTCTGGAGGTGAGCCCATAGCCTTCCTGCCAGCAGATTCTATTGCATAGCTGGTGTTGAAGACTCCAGGTGGAGGCTGGCTGGGGTCTGGTATGCTGAGGAACCGGGTGAAGGGCAATAGGGAGAAGTGCGTTTGCCATGGACTGAGCCTGTGAGGATGTGGAATTAGAGAGGGGGACGGAAGCAATAGAGGACCAGGGGAGAGAGATGGCTGTGTGGGCTGCCAGGGAGCTGCAGCACTTGAGTTTGTCTGTTGCTAGGGTATGGAGGTGAAATAGGAGGCCCCAGGGAAGGCAAGAGCTTTGATAACCCAGTTCCTCCTCACTGGGAAAGTAGTTATGAAGTCTGAATAACAGGATCTGAAAGGCAGGCAAGAAGCAGCACTAAGCTAAGAACATTCTTATGTAAGAATAAGGTAAAGCATATTTCCTTTCCTCGCCGGGGGACTTCCCTTCCTAATATTTTCTGTCCCTCTTCCTCTTGCCATCCATCTACGGACCGAGGCCATCACACAGGTGCCTGCAGACACATCTCCCCTGCCATAGCATCCTTGCCTTTGCTGTTCGCAGGGAGCTGCCTGAGTGAATCCCTCACTCCCTTCAGGTCCTTGACTCTTTGAGAGACTCACTACTCCTTCTCTTCCACTCTTCCTTATTTGTGTCTAGTAGCATTTAACACATCTGGTCATTTTCTGTTCTTTTTCAACAAATTATATTTGTCAGAGACAGGTGTTGTGGCCCAGTGGATTAGCATGCTGCCTGTGGTGCCTGAATTCCAGATCAGAATGCCAGTCCTAGTCCCAGATGCTGTGTTACTGGTCCAGCTTCGTAATGTTAATGGGAAAGCAGCAGGCGATGGTCCAAGGACTAGGGCCCCTGGGAAATCCAGATGAATTTCCTGGCTCCTGGCTTTAACCTAGACCAGCCCTGGCTAGTGTGGCAGTTTTGAAACAGCCAAATGAAAATTCTTGCTCTCTCTCCCTCTCTCTAGTTCCATAAATCTGCTTTTCAAATAAATAAGTAAGTCTTTAAAAATTAATCTTTTAAAAATTTGACTGGCAATGAAACATAAACAGAGAAAGAGATGAAAAAAAAAAAACCCAAAAAATGTGATATCCATCGGCTCACTTCCCAAATGGCCACAAAAGGGAGAGAGGATAAACAGAACTCATTCTAGGTCTTTCGCTTGAGAAACAGAGACGCAAGCACTTGAGCCCTCAGATATCTCCTCCCAGGGCAGGAAACTGGATCTGAAGCAGGGGTGGGACTCAAACCCAGGCTCTCTGACATGGGATGTGGGCTAAAAAAATTTCTAGTACTTTTCCCTCCCCCTCCAGAATGGAACACTAAAAAAGAGAGGATTGTTGGCGCCCATTGTTGTAGCTCCAAAGCTTAGAATTGAGACCAGAACACAGAAGACTCTGAAGAAATATCTGTGGCATGCATGATTAATGAATGAAGAGCCCTTCTGTGTGTGTTACATCCCTGGGTCTCTGAACTAGGTGTAGTTCTTTATTTCTACACCTGTGTGCCTGTGCACATGTGTCTCTGAACGTATTTAAGCTTCTCTAGGGCTCTGGATACTGGCCTCCTGAATAGGAGCGTGCGTGTCTTTTCCTGCCCACGTTTCTGTGTCCTCTGCTTGTGTGTGGATCTGTCAGGTCAGTAGCGGCTGCCACACATCAGCAGAGGGCACTAGAGAGCCATGTGCTTTTAGGTCGGGGCTGTGATGGGGAAAAAAAATCTTTGTAGCTGTGTCAAGGACCCAGGAGATCCAGAGTCTGGGAGGAAAGAGGTGGTGACTTCTCTAGACCAGCGGACGTCGCTGCTAAGTTGTGCAATTTCGGTGACTCTTCTGTTGTTTTCCCTCAGTTCACCCCTTAGGGCCCAGCCCTTCAAGCATTGCCAGCAAACCTAGCGCACCAGCTTCTGCTGAGGGGTTGGAAGAGGAGCTGGCTGCTAACCTGCACCCTTAAGAAGGAGACCCCTCCTGCAAAACCTCATCCCTTCCACCAGAAATCAGTTCGCACGCGGCTCCAGCATCCCTCACCGCCGTCCCGTCCTCGGTCCCCCCCAGGTATCGCCAACTCCTGCTCCAAGCTCTTATCTGGCTTGGTGGGCAGTCCAGGCCAGTCCTTGGCCTTCCAAGCTGAGCTTCTCCTTTTGTAGGGGTCCAAGACAAAGGAAGGAGTCAATTGTGCCTCTTCCCGGATGCCAAGGACTCCATCAGCGTGGCCCCAGAGTAACTGGAAGCAGCCCCTGGCATGGTTTGGGGGTGGGGGCAGGTCCAAGGGAATTCTTCAATTCTGGGGTTAAAAGAATGCACTCCCCTCCCCCCTCCTACATCCGTTAGTTGAGAATTCTTCATTTTGGGAATCCAGGAATTAGCTTCTGGTTGTGGCATATTTTTTTTTTAAAGGAGATCTTTATGCTATTTAACTTCCTGGCAGCGGACCCTCCCTCCCCCCAATACCACACACTCTTCCTCATCACAGTCATCCTCTGGGTACGAGGTTCGTCCTAGGATCGTGTCCCCTCTCCCCGACCCCGCCTCCTCACCCTCCTCCAACCCAATGCTTAGTTCCACAGCCCCGGACCAAGCCTTGCGGGGAGCGCGGGCGGGCAGGGGGGTCCAGCCGTGCCCGCCCCGGAGCCCGCGAAGTCACGTCCCTTCTCCCGGTTGCCTTGCCCTCAATTCCTTTCTCTCGGCCGCCCTTCCAGCTCGGTGCCAGCGAGGGGTGTTGAGTGTGCGCGCGCGTTGGGGGGCAGGGGAGGCGGTGGAGGGAGGCGCCGTCGGGGAGGGAGAGTAGACGTCAGGAGGAGGAGGAGGAGGAGGAGGAGGAGGAGGAGGAGGAGGAGGGCGGGAGGCGAGGGGAGGGAAGGGGAGGGCCGGGCGAGCTCGGGAGCGCGGCTCCCAGACCCAAAGAGAGCGGGAGAGACGGGGAAAGAAGCGGAGGGGCAGTGGGGGGGAAGAGTGCAGAGGGGCGGCCGAGGGAGGGGAAGTGAGTTTGTGCGCGCGGCGCGCGTGCAGGGGCGGGCGGCGGGGGGCGGGCTCGCGCGCTCCCCTCCTCCCCAGCCCGCTCCTCTCCCGGCTCGCCAACTCCGGGCCCCAGCCGCGGGCGGGCGCGCTGCGGGCGGACAGCATGCTGAGCCTCCTCGTCTGGATCCTCACTCTCTCCGACACTTTCTCCCAAGGTAAGGACCCCCCCCTCCCCGCGCCCCGGACACCCCTCCCTCTACATCCCCTACCCACACCCCCTCCCCGGGACGCCCGGCTCCACCCGGGGGGCGGCCCCGCGCCAACAGACGCAGCCACGAGGCGGGGGGCTCGGGTCCCGGCGCCGAGTCTCCGGGGCTGGCGAGAGGGAGTTTTCCGTTGATTCACCCAAAGTTGTTTCTTCTGGCGGAGCGCGAGCACGGAGAATCGGGGGGCTGGTGGGGTTCGGAGTGAAAACGGGACCGTAAAGTCTTGGCTGGAGCCTCCCACCCCGCCTCTCTCCTCACCCTCAGCCCTTGTGGCCGCGGGCACCTCTGGGTCTTGCCTTGCCCCGGAAGGCTGGGAAGAGGGTGGGCTTTCACATGTGGGGGTGGGGTGCGCGCGGAAAAGCTACTTCGGGGAATCGAGTCTCCGGGTCCCGGGTAACGCTTTTGGGGTGCCTGCGTCCGATCCGCCGCCTCAGACTGCCTGGAGCTGCCCGGCTCCGGGAGCGAGCGAGCCGGGGTGGGGTGAGCTCCGAGCCTCGGGGCAGGGAGGGGACCATTGGAGCCCTGGGCCGCGCAAGCCGGGGGCGGGGAGTGGAGTTCCAAATACAGCTGCGGGCCAGGTCGGTGTGTTAGGAGACACTTAACTAGGGGTGACACCCCGCTTGGGGTCTGGGAAGTGCTGATGTCTGGGTCTGATTTGAAACTGAATGGGGCAGGGGGGAGGCTGGGAGCATGTGAGTGGCTCCTGGGCTGGGGATCCGTGATGGGGAGGGAAGAGAGTGAGGGAACCCAGCCTCCAGCCAGGAATGGGGTCGGTCTGTGGCTGCGAGTTCTTATCTTCCCGCTTAAGCTCACTCTACCTCCCCCTTCCCCCGAAAGGACTTGACACTGAGAAATTGACACAGAAACACCACAAAGCAGCCGCAGACACGGAGGCCGAGTGCTCACCTCCGGAGACGTCCCCCACTTGGACACAAATATGCTGACATCTCAGGCACATGAATTCCAGCCCCAAATGGGCACACGCATTCCTACACCACAGCGCCCAAACTCACACAGTGTATGTGTGCGGGCAGCGTCTGCAAGGACACCACACACACACACACACACACAAACACACACACACACACACGTGCCCTTCCACAGACAGCAGCCCTGGAGCAAACAAAGAAACTTGAACAGATATTCACACAGCCAGACACCTACAGAGATAGGCAGGCTACAAAATGGAGGAGGTGGTCTCTTTCCTGGGGTTGAGGGATCAGTCATCTTAGAGAGGAAAGGCTCAGGAGTTGCTCTGTCCTCACTGGCTGTCCGGGGTTGGTGGGTGTGGGTGGGCCCATATTCTGGATCCCCTTGTCCCAGCCAGACCCTAGCCAGGACTGGGTTGGTGGGGGGGGGGGGGAACCAGTCTGCAGTCATCATTTCCCACAGGGCACCCTGCTCCTGCACCATCTGAAGATGAGGAAAGGGTGTGGGATGGTGTGCTGGGGAGAAAGGGGGCCAGGCCATGAGGTTGGCAGGCCAGGCTGGCTGGGCACTTGACAGAAAGTTAGGAAGGTGACTTAAGTTTTGACTTTGTTCAGCCAGGCTGGGGTGGGGGAGTGGGTGGGAAGGGCTGTGTTGGGGGAAGGGCACTAGGTCAGTGTTGGTATGTAGTGGGGGCAGGCCCGCCACTGCCCCTTCCCCGAGCCCTCACATTGCAGCAGCATGGATACGAATGAGCCTTGAGGAACAAAAGCTGCAGTTAGCAACGTGTGGATTGAATGGGGGGGAGGAAGAGGAATGGTCCCAATGAAATGTGGCTTGTGTGCCTTTCCACCCTGGGGAAGGGGGTAGGGGCTGGGAAATCCTGAGCCTCCACCAGCCTGTGTGCAAGCTGGTGAAGGCAGGACTTGGTGAGAGTGCCCAAGTGTCTGTGGTGCGGGATAGGAGACCCAAGGCAGAAACGGAGAGAATCCTCGAGAGGGAAAGGAAATTGCTGCTGAGTGCTACCAGGGGCTGGGGAGGTGCCAGGAGGAACGGGGGTCAGGAGTGGGAGCCGGGCATGCAGGGAGCATGGAGCGGGGAGGGAAGGAAGGGGAACAGGACTGGGGGTACACCTTCCCCTCAGCCTCCATCCTCAGAAGGAGTTGCAGGCCTGGGACTAGGGCAGGGAGCAAAGAAACGGAGGAGGCAGAGCGTTGCCAGGGGGTGAGGGCTGGCAGGGGGGGAAGGGGGAGGGGGGCAGAGGCTGCAGAACGGAGCGGAGAGGAGATGGGAGGTTCAGCCCAGGCCGAGAAATAAAAATCACGTTTTCAAGAATTTCAATGGGCTTCATCAATCTTCATTTTTCACTAAATAATTTTCTGTATCTTATCTAAATGAAAACCATTATCCTTCCCCCCATTTCCATCATGCGCCGGCTCCTCAGACTGATTGCGCCGAAAATTGAAATATTTATTCATTTTCTGGGAGATTTTCTCGCTCCCTAGTCTCAGGGAGGAGAAATTGAAAAAGAAAGATTATAGCTAATCAGAGCAATGTGGGATGACAGGCCGGGCGGCTGGGGCGGGAGCTGCCCTCGGAGGGGGGTGGCTCTGGGGGGGCAGGGGACAGATCTGTCCCTTTAGCCCCCAGCACACACCCTGCCGTTCCTGCCACCACTCCTGAGGGGTGTGAGAGGTGAAGGAGAGGGGCCAGAGGCCTCCTGCATTCTCAGTTTTAACTCTCTCTGTACTGCTAAATCTTGGTAGAGTACACGGAGCTCTGGGGGAATGGGTGGGAATGGTGCTCTCCTGTTGGCTGTGGGTGAGGGTGCTCCTGCATGCGCGCGCGCACACACACACACACACACACACACACACGCGCGCACACACACACACACCCATACTCCAGGTCCCACTTCTGCCCAGAGCACGGTAGGCAGGGCAGAAACCAGCATCCTGGGTCTCGCCTTGATCTTGATTGGACTCTACCTTCTGAGACCCAAAGGCATCACCCAAGTACTCAGACTCCTCAGATGCCACAACCTCCCCCCCCCCCCCCCCGGTCGGGAGGAGGCGTGTCAGGCTGTGCAGCTGCTCCGGCCAGAGCTGGCTGTCGGTTGTTCCAGCCCTGCCTGTGGTTCTGCAGTGGGTTAGGGGTGAGGAAGGCCTGCCTCTGGGCTCCCTTCCCCTTCACCCCATTGGCTTGAGAACCGCTTCTGATGGAAACTCCTCCAGGACCTCTTTATATCCTTGGCAGCCACATGTTAATTTCTTTGAAGCGCAATGCTGTGCATATGCTAAATGCCCCTTAAATCGCTGATCAATTGATTGATTTGGTGAAGGCGCCGCACGGCTGGTAGGAGGCAGTGTCAGGCTGAGGCTCCTTCACAGCCTGCCTCTGCTCCTTGGTAGTTGTGCAAACTTGAACAAGTGTCCTCTCTGGGCTTCTAGTTTTCTCAGGTGTGTGAGGACAAGATAGTAACCCCATAAGGTGTTTTTGATAGCCATCAAAGAACCATGTACAATGCGTGGGGCAGTGCCTGGCACGAATGATTACCTGTTAGGCACCTGCCTTTCCTGTCTCCTGTTTGTGATCCTCTGGTGTTTTCAGGCCCCAGCTGCTCAGCTTCTCAGTCCCGGGGCGTTAGAGGAAGCCTCTTTGTATTCCTTAGGGAGAGATGGTGTGTTGAGGCAGGCTCCCAGAGGAAACTCCATCCTCCCTCCCCCCGAGACCCCCCACTGGTTGGAGTCCCCAGGCAAGGACTGAAGAAGGGACTGAAGAAGGTGGAGCTGAAGAGGCTGGCAGGACTCCGTGTGAAATGAGGAGGGACACTAGCCCTGAGGTGGCAGCATTTCAGAGTTTGGAAATGGCATGGCTCATTTACTGAGGCCTTATGCTAACTGCTTTATATGCAATAGCTAATTTAATCTATGCAACAGCCCCCTGGGATCATCTCCATCATTTTCCCCATTCCATGGATGAGAAAGTGAGGTTTCCACTTATGACTTGTCTTGTTGATTGTGGGTGAGTACTGGCTGCCCCCGAAGCCTTCCCCTTCCTCCATTGCCAGAGAATCCACCTGCCAGCAGAGCCTGGTGCTGAGTTCACCTGTGATGTGTTCCGATTTATAGCCAAATGCGAGCTAGCAGCAAAAGGCTAAAATCATTCCCATTTTTAAAGCAGTGCTTGATTCTAAGATACCCTCTTCTACTGTTGGGTGCAGAGTCATTTTTCTTTGATGACATGACAGTGTTAGTGGATGACATTTTTTAAGGGTCTTTACTTGGCCAATAAAAAGGTTTGCAAAGTGTATTTGTGACATTAGGCACCGCCTTATTGGTCTGTGGAGTACAAATTGGAGAACTGTACCCCCGTACTGTGCGACGTTGGCTCCGGGGGAGATGCAGAGTCGTACAGAGGCAAGGAGTGAGGGGCTGGCTAGAGACTGAGGGGAAAAACCCAAGCCTGGCTCTCCCAGATCAGCTCCCACACCAGCCTGGGCCTTGGCTGCCTCCGAGGCTGGGGTCTTTGATGGCTTGTTTGGAGCCCAGACCTCAGTGTGCTTTCTGAGCTTGTGCCCTGGGCATCTTGGCTGGCCTAGGTTGGTGAAAAGTAATGCTAGGAGGTCACTTCCAAACCCTAGCATCAAAATGGCCATTTATCCAATTCATCCTCTCTGCTTTTCTTCAAGTTAATGGTACTGTCAGTTTGGTAGAAAACCAAAGAGTTTAAGTAACTTGCTGCAGGCAAGTTGTAGCCCAGGTTCAAGCCCCTTTGCACCTGCCAGCACCTCTCGCTCCCTTAGGAGACAGCTGGGGACAGACTGGAGGGAAGCCCAGGGTCTAGTCCCCTGGTGACTTGCTTGGTCATCTTCCCCACATGTCCGCCCAGGAATGCCAAGGCCACATCCATCTCCTTGCCTTGCTGTGATGATCATCTAGCTGTGAGACAAAACTTGGGTGTCAGGATACGTACTTGGATCCACAGGTCCAGGAACTGGGAATTTTGCCCAAGTCAGAAGA